TAGTTCCCTCTACTTGGAAGGCTGAGGCGGAAGGCTCGCCGGAGCCCAGCAGGTCGAGGCTGCGGTGGCCGGGAGCGGCCACTGCACTCCAGTCTGGGTGACAGGGTGAGACTCCAACTCAAAAAAAAAAAAAAAATTTTGGTAGAAATGGGGTCTTACTATGTTGCCCATGCTGGACTCAAACTCCTGGCCTCAAGTGATCCTCTCACCTCAGCTCCCAAAGTGCTGGGATTACTGACATGAGTCATCAAGTCTAGCCTGTACCATGTGATTGTGGTAGTTAGTGGCACATATATTTTCTTCTTGATAAGTACAAATAGATCCAGTTTTGACCGAAGTCATAAGAGAAACTCACTTTCTGAATTGCTGTGGGAACGAAATTGCTGACATTGAACCTCTAGTCTCCTGCTTTTGTCCCTATCCCCATGCCCTTTCCATCCCGTCCTACCTCTTCCTCCCTAGAAGCAGCACTAAGCTTTGGCGTGTTCTCCTGGATGCTGTGTGTGTCCTAGCTGCAAGTCCTTACCCTCCACATGGGACTCCTTTCTTTTCACTATGGGGGCTAGGCTTCTGCCATGACCTGCTTTTGAAATGGCCACTGCCTGAGGTCCTCAGCCTCCTGGTTTTACCTGGCTTCCCCTGGAAGTACTCTACTCCCTCCTTCCTGTCCAGTCATTGTAGTCATTCTTCTTTGGCATCTTCCAGCTCAGTTATGTCTTTATTTACTTTATCTTTTTTGAGGTGGTCTGGGCCTGCACACAGTCTCTTCTCACTATGATCTAGAGTTTTCCCCCATGTTCCATTCTGCCTCCCTGTGCTGTCTGTCACCCAGGAGGAATTCTTGTCTACTTCCAGGAGAGGAATTCTTGCCCTCCACTATTCCTTCTGCCTACCACTTCCCTTTCGTGTGCAGAAACCCCTCTTCCTTAAAGCTTTTCCCATCTGGCCATACTGAGATAGGGATCTGGCAGGACTATGTTTACCAAGACAGAAGTTACAATACCTGGATCTAAGTTTCGGAAGTGTTGGAATATGGTGAGAAGACCTGCCAAAGCCAGCTGCGACCAGCTAAGACCAAGATAGTGTGGAAAGCGACCTCTCATTGTCCTTTTTACTCATTATTGCTAATTATAATACATTAATAAGCTCATGATAGTTTATAATAACCACAGCAACTCCCAGAAGTGGCCCTAAATGGTTTAAAAAAGGAAGAAACCTTCAATTCCAGGAACTTCCCATCCTTTTCCTGGAAAACCCACCAATAATCTATCCCTTGCTTAGCACATAATCAAGCAATAGCTACAAATATAAAAACCCAACAATAGATGACTGTTGTTCTTCCCATAGACCAGCCCAGGTGCTCTACCTGTGTAGTAGCTGCTCTCTGTCATTTCAATAAATTTTTTTTTTACTTTCTAGTGGAACCCCCAGTGATGTATAGGGTAGCCTTCCTTCTGTTCCTCTTTTCTTTGAATAAACTTGATTTTGCTTTACCTTGTCAGCTCGCTATTGAATTCTTTCCTGTGCAGAGCCAAGAACCCACTTGGCCTCTTGGGCAGAACCCTAACTTTGGGATCCCCCAGTCTGTATCAGTACCATCCCCTCCCTCTAAGTGATAAATGTTCTGTTACTGGCTTTCTGTTCACTCTCTAGTCAACAAAGTCTAGGCTCTCCTGTCAATCCTCTTCATCCTCCTCACTCCAGTAATATTTTTGTGTGTCGTAGTCTCAATCTATTGCCCAGAATGGAGTGCAGTGGCATGCTCATGGCCACTATGGCCTCAACCTGCTGGGCTCAGGTGATCCTTCTGCCTCAGCCTTCCAAGTATCAGGAACCACATGTGCCTGCCACCACACCTGGATAATTAGGAAAAAAAATTTATTGTAGAGATAAGGTCTTGTCAAGTTGTCCAGGCTGGCCTTGAACCCCTGGACTCAGGCAATCCTTTCACCTCTGCCTCCCAAAGTGCTGGGATTATAGGCATGAGCCACCATGACTATAACAATATAACTTTAAGCAACCTCAGTGTCCAGGCAGATAACCCGTCACCCTAGCCTCTGGCTGCTCTCAGATCCTCAGCCTCCTCGTCTCTGGTGACTCTCTTCTCCTCTACTCCAGCCATGATTTCCACAGCCACAGCACAGACTGAATGTCATCCGCACGCTATGGAATCTCGAAAGTCAGATCTCGCCTCCAGTCGCTTCCTTCTGTGCTCCTGCCTCTTCCACTCATATGCTTCCACTGACATGGCCCCTTGACCTTCTGGAGACCTCATGCCCACAAGCTCCAGCAGCTGCTTCTCTCCCCTTCCCTCCATGACCAATGCAGAGTCATGGCTCCTCATGCTACCTCTTTCAACCCCCTGCTCCTCTCTCCCTCCCTCATGCTTGTGTGGTAAAATTCCAGGCAGGATCAATCCAACCTGCTAACTTTTCCATGCTTTCCCCAAGCAGCTGAACATGGCACAAGAACAACCATGTAGTTGGGTAGATAGCTCCTGCGTTAAATTCCGGACTGCCATCCTCAGGTGAACACTTGGTGCTCCCTCTCTCTCTCTTCAGCTCACATCAGTTGGGTTTCTGCTGTGGTCTCCTTGCTGGCAAGCCCTAAACCCCACCTGACTGCTCAGTGGTGTTCCTAGAGTCTACCACCCTGTGCCGACACTCTTCAGCCTTTATGCTGGATTTTCCTTCCCTCTCTCCTTCACTAGGTCTCCCTCCTGTGAATGTGAGCATTCTGCAGAGCTCTGCTCTGGGCCAGCTTCTCTCTCCAATGCTCCTGCCCAGGGCATCCCAGCCCTGGTATGGCTTTATACTCTGCCGACATGCCCCAAGAACCTCTAATCCCATCTTTCCAGTTCACTTTTTTTTGTTTTTGTTTTTGTTTTTTTGAGTTGGAGTCTCACTCTGTTGCCCAGACTGGAGTGCAGTGGCTGCTCCCGGCCACCGCAGCCTCGACCTGCTGGGCTCTGGCGATCCTTCCACCTCAGCCTTCCAAGTAGCTAGAACCACAGGCGCGCGCTACCACGCCCGGCTGATTTTTTGATTTATTGTAGAGATGAGGTCCCGCTGCCCAGGCGGGTCTCGAACCCATGGGCTCAGGCAATCCACTCACCTCAGCCTCCTAAAGGCGCAGGATTACAGGCTGAGCCACGGAGCCCGGCTTCCAGCTCACTTTTGAGGGCTGGATTAATACATTTGATTGTCTATTTATTTATTTATTTAGAATCAGAGTCTCACTCTGTTGTCCAGGCTGGAGTGCAGTGGCACACTCATGGCCATTGCAGTCTCTACCTGCTGAGCACAGGTGATCCTTCCACCTCTGCCGTCCAAGTAGCTGGAACTACCTGGACATGCTACCATGCCTGGCTAATTTTTTTGATTTATCATAGAGAAGAGGTCTCGCTGAGTTGCCCAGGCTGGTCTCGAACCCCTGGACTCAGGCAATCCTCTCTCCTTGGCCTCCCAAATTACTGGGATTACAGGCTTGAGCCACTGCACCTGGCCTTGATTGTCTGCTTTAACTTGCATGTGGATGTGCCAAAAATTTATGTGCTAAAACAACTCGTCATGCCTTTCCAAATCCTGTCCTCTTTCACAGGGGCCCACCCCAGGAAAGTCTTGTCCCTTCCAAGCTGCCCTGTTCTCTTTCACTCCCCCAGTCCAGGAATTCTCTTGTTCAAATACATCTTCAAGGTCATGGTCACCCATTAGCCTTCATCACCTCTCACTCTTTTTCCAATAATTCTCATTATTCTCACTTTTGGTAAGATTTCTCAGAGTAGTTATATTAACACCCAATTTGCTCTTGCCAATTCCCTGCTAAAAACTCTTCAATAGTTTCATGTAGAAAACATGTCTTTAATGTGGCGTGCAAGGCTCTGCATCCCTGAGCTCCTGTCATGCTTTAGAGAGTCCTCCTTCTCCTGCCCATTACTCTGGGCCCCACCCTGGCCCTCTTTTCACTCCTGAAAGGTGTTGAGCACCTTCTTCCTTGGGGCCTGCTAACGCTGGTCTATGGGCCTGAAGACCTCTTCCATACTCTGCCTGGTCCACATACTCTCCCTCCAG